GACTTAGACAGAGATTAAAAGATTGGGCAAAACACTCTTCTGTAGGGATTAATTCCTCACTGGAGCACAGTGGCAAACTGCGGCAACGAAGGAGCTTCTTGGCAAATGGGGCCTACTGTGATGGATATAATACAGCTTGACCCTCGGAGGATAGACACTGCAGTAGGCTCTTGTGATTGGATATACTGAAAGTGTAATAACTAATAGGCTGGACAAACCGGGCCTTAACACATGTGCCTTAAGAAACCGTATCAGTCAAACTTAGTAGAAAGTAGCTGAATTCAATAATGTCATTTGCAACTTAAATGACTTGGGAATGGAACTTCTCACCCGATCCGTGGCCTCAGTCAGGTAGCAGATAGTCTCTCTGTAGACAGGGGCCCCCGTGTTCTTGTGGTTCCCCCTTCAGAGATCACTCTGGTCCACCTGCTTGCAGGGCAGTTCTCCAGATTCATCAGTGGTCAGCAATTCCTCATTTCTCCTCCACTTTCTCTGAGGCCTGGTCTAGCCTGGACCTCCAGTGTCCTGCAGAGCCTTCTCCTCACACCTGCTCTCCTCCATTCACTTCCTGTCCTGGGGTTCCCGGGCTTCTGTATTTATCTGCCTCCGCCCATTAGCTAGTTCTTCTGGGAAGTGTACAGTAGTTTGCTAGCTCGCTGTCAAACAGTGAAGTCCCTTATCCCACAAAGCTTTTCAACAGAGTCTGTGTAAGGCCTCATGTACACTGCTGCTCCCTAACGTGAGTTTAGAAGCTTTTGGCGTTTATTTGCTAAAGCCCCTGAGCTCAACTCAATACACATAGAATTTTACCAGAGTTTAGGAGCAGCAGAGTTTAGGGGCAGTTATATGTTCCTGTTCCTCCCCCTATCAACCAAAACATTCCTCTTCTGAATGCAGAATACCTGCGTTCAGGAGAGGAGCGTTTTGGCCAAAAAAAAAACGCTAAATGCCGCAAAAACATGCATAAACGTGGCTTAATGCGTCTAAAGCAACTAAATGCTAGTCGCGTTTAGCGCTTGGGCGTTTATCCATGTCAATGGAAAATACTCGGAACAATCAAGTGAATAAACATCCAAGAGTTTAGCTTTTTTTTCTGCTGCTAGGAGAGTTTAACAACTAGGTGAGTTCATGTGTACATAAGGCCTAACTGGGCTGCAGGACACTGCCATCTTGTGTCCATTTAACATCTTGCAACCAGTATTACAGCAAGGTGTTACACACTCAACTGCTTTGATGAAATTAAAGAATATATTACCCCAACAATTCATATTCCTGGTATGTGCCTGTTGTAACATATACTTTTATTAAAAAGTATACTGTTCTCTTTGTATTGCTTCCTTTGTTTGAAATCCTTGGTGCTGCTCCCAGTCCCTCTGCTTTCCTTTTTCAAACTGAGACCAGGCTATGAGAGCACATCTGTCTCAGTGTGGTTAGTTTTCTGGCCGTGTGCTTGAATAACAGCCTGCCTATCCTCCAATGACCAGACTTGTGCTGACATGTTCTCTGCACAGCCATTTACTGGGTCAATGGATGTTCTGCTGTTTCTCCATTCCTAGCTCAGCTCCCCAAGCCCTTTACACAGCTGATAACAGAGGCTATTTGATAAATTATTAACAAAAAAAAAGAAAAAGGCATTTATTATGTGTATATATATATATACAGTCAGGTCCATAAATATTGGGACATCGACACAATTCTAACATTTTTGGCTCTATAACACCACCACAATGGATTTGAAATGAAACGAACAAGATGTGCTTTACCTGCAGACTGTCAGCTTTAATTTGAGGGTATTTACATCCAAATCAGGTGAATGGTGTAGGAATTACAACAGTTTGCATATGTGCCTCCCACTTGTTAAGGGACCAAAAGTAAATGGGACAATTGGCTTCTTCAGCTGTTCCATGGCCAGGTGTTTGTTATTCCCTCATTATCCCGTTTACAATGAGCAGATAAAAGGTCCAGAGTTCATTTTAAGTGTGCTATTTGCATTTGGAATCTGTTGCTGTCAACTCTCAAGATGAGATCCAAAGAGCTGTCACTATCAGTGAAGCAAGCCATCATTAGGCTGAAAAAACAAAACAAACCTATTGTCAGGGCTCCCAGGTATGACCAGAGGTGTGTGACTGATGCAGGGAAACGCAGACTTCAGATATGTGATAAACAATACAATTTATTAACACTAACCATACAAACATAAACGCAGTGCAATACTAAACATAATACAGTGCAAACAAACCAAACCAAACCACCCACAGATAACAGTACATACAAGCAAGCGTCGTCAGGCAGGCCGGGTCAATATCAATTGGGCAGGTAGGTACAGGGGGAGCAAGCAGAGAATGGTCGGGGTCACAGGCCAGGTTCAGCAGGTAGCAAGCAGCGTAGTACAGAGGGTCAGGCAGAGGGATGGTCAGGGTCACAAGCCAGAGATCAAAACAGGTAACAAGCAGCGTAGTACAGAGGGTCAGGCAGAGGGCCAGAAACAGGATGCAGGACAGATACAGGGCCCAGGACAAACACAACACCAAGGCAGAGTCTGTGGGTCTGGCCATCCCTTAAATACCCCAGCATCATCAGTTCCAGGTGTTAGCTGGCTGAAAGGTTGAGTCTCTGATTGCTGGGAGCACCCGCTGGCCAGCCCTGGTACTGCAGATCAAAAGGCAGGTGAGTCCCACCATTGCTGGCCAGTCCATTCCTAACAGTACGCCCCCCCCCCCCCCAAGGAGCGGCCTCAGGACGCTCCAAACAGTCCTAGCTGGGCAAAATGTTCCACCGCCCGGGTCTGGTAACTGGCGGGATATCAAAGACTGGCACACCGGGCAGGACTCCGGGCAGCGGCACACCGGGCTGGACTCCGGGCAGAGGCACACCGGGCTGGACTCCGGGCAGAGGCACATCGAGCAGAGGCACACCGGGCAGAGGCACACTGGGCAGAGGCACACTGGGCAGAGGCACATCGGGCAGAGGCACATCGGGCAGGACTCCGGGCAGAGGCACATCGGGCAGAGGCACATCGGGCAGGACTCCGGGCAGAGGCACATCGAGCAGAGGCACACCGGGCAAAGGCACACCGGGCAGAGGCACATCAGGCAGAGGCACATCGGGCAGGACTCCGGGCAGAGGCACATCGGGCAGAGGCACATCGGGCAGGACTCCGGGCAGAGGCACATCGGGCAGGACTCCGGGCAGAGGCACATCGGGCAGGACTCCGGGCAGAGGCACATCGGGCAGGACTCCGGGCAGAGGCACATCGGGCAGGACTCCGGGCAGAGGCACATCGGGCAGGACTCCGGGCAGAGGCACATCGGGCAGGACTCCGGGCAGAGGCACATCGGTTTACCAGGCGAAGCAGCAGGCCACCAGGCGGAGCAGCAGGCACCGGGCCCCCGGGAGGAGCAGCAGGCACCGGCCCCCCGGGCGGAGCAGCAGGCACCGGGCCACCGGGCGGGGCGACATGCATCGGGCCCCCGGGCGGAGCAGCAGGCACCGGGCCCCCGGGCGGGGCAGCAGGCACCGGGCCCCCGGGCGGGGCGACAGGCACCGGGCCCCCGGGCGGGGCGACAGGCATCGGGCCCCCGGGCGGGGCAGCAGGCATCGGGCCCCCGGGCGGGGCAGCAGGCACCGCGCCCCCGGGCGGGGCAGCAGGCACCGGGCCCCCGGGCGGGGCAGCAGGCACCGGGCCCCCGGGCGGGGCGACATGCATCGGGCCCCCGGGCGGAGCAGCAGGCACCGGGCCCCCGGGCGGGGCGACATGCACCGGGCCCCCGGGCGGAGCAGCAGGCACCGGGCCCCCGGGCGGGAGCGGCAGGCGTCGGGCCCCCAGGCGGGGCGGCGGGCGCCGGGCCCCCAGGCGGGGCGACAGGCATCGGGCCCCCCAGGCGGGGCAACAGGCATCGGGCCCCCAGGCGGGGCGACAGGCATCGTGCCCCCAGGCGGGGCGACAGGCCTCGTGCCCCCAGGCGGGGCGACAGGCCTCGTGCCCCCAGGCGGAGCGGCGGGCGCTGGACCCCCAGGCGGAGCGACAGGTCTCGGGCCCTCAGGCGGAGCGGCGGGCGCCGGACCCCCAGATGGAGCGACAGGTCTCTCGGGCCCTCAGGCGGAGCGGCGGGCGCCGACCCCCAGGCGGAGCGACAGGTCTCGGGCCCTCAGGCGGAGCGGCGGGCGCCGGACCCCCAGGAGGAACGACAGGTCTCGGGCCCTCAGGCGGAGCGGCGGGCGCCGGACCCCCAGATTGGAGCGACAGGTCTCGGGCCCTCAGGCGGAGCGGCGGGCACCGAGTCACCAGGCACAACCGTGGGCTCCGAGTCAACTGGGATGACCGCTGGCACTGGGTCAGACATTGGATCGTCTGGCTGGACAGCGGGCATCGGGTCACCAGGCATCAGGTCATTTGGCTCGACAGCGGGCACCGCGTCATCTGGCAAGGCAGTGGGCTCCGAGTCAACAGGCACAACAGTGAGCACCGGGTCATCAGGTACCGGATTGTCTGGCTCGACAGCGGGCATCGGGTCACCAGGTATGACAGCGGGCACTGGGTCACCAGGCATCAGGTCATTTGGCTCGACAGCGGGCACCGGATCAGGTACCGGATCATCTGGATCAACAGCGGGCATCGAGTCAACTGGCCTAATAGGATCGTCAGGCTGGATCAGTTCATCATGCTGGGTAGAGGCATCAGGCCGAGTAGAGGCATCAGGCCGAGTAGAGGCTTCAGGCCGAGTAGAGGCTTCAGGCCGAGTAGAGGCATCAGGCCGAGTAGAGGCATCAGGCCGAGTAGAGGCTTCAGGCCGAGTAGAGGCATCAGGCCGAGTAGAGGCATCAGGCCGAGTAGAGGCTTCAGGCCGAGTAGAGGCTTCAGGCCGAGTAGAGGCATCAGGCCGAGTAGAGGCTTCAGGCCGAGTAGAGGCATCAGGCCGAGTAGAGGCTTCAGGCCGAGTAGAGGCTTCAGGCCGAGTAGAGGCTTCAGGCCGAGTAGAGGCATCAGTCCGAGTAGAGGCTTCAGGCCGAGTAGAGGCATCAGGCCGAGTAGAGGCATCAGGCCGAAGAGAGGCATCAGGCTGCATACAGGCATCAGGCTGAAGAGAGGCATCAGGCTGCGTACCGGCATCAGGCTGAAGAGAGGCATCAGGCTGAGTAGAGGCATCAGGCTGAGTAGAGGCATCAGGCTGAGTAGAGGCTTCAGGCTGAGTAGAGGCTTCAGGCTGAGTAGACGCATCAGGCTGAGTAGAGGCATCAGGCTGAGTAGAGGCTTCAGGCTGAGTAGAGGCTTCAGGCTGAGTAGAGGCTTCAGGCTGAGTAGAGGCTTTAGGCTGAGTAGAGGCTTCAGGCTGAACCACGGAAGGCAGGCTCACCGGTTTGGATACTGGCAGGATGGTATTGGTTGGAAAGAATTTTCGCTTTTTTCTGGTTTTAACTACTGGAGCACTGCAAGTAAACGCAGGTCTGCAAACGAATGGAGCAGCTGGAGACAGAGAAGAACTGGAGGATGGAACAGGAGAGGGAGCAGTTGCTACAGAGGGCTTCTTTACAGGGTTAAAGGCAGGATAGGTGCAGCGAGTGGGAAACAGGGTACTGACATGCGGTAGATAGCAGGGCAGGAGGAGCTGTTGGGAATGCAGGAATAGAGGTTTGAGGAAATAGATTAGAAGCAGGACTGGGTCTTTGTAAGCTGACTGAGGCTGGGTGCAACAAATCTGTCCATGTCTGCAGTATGGGTTGAACAAAGCTGAGCTTACACAAAGCCTGTCTGGTCAATGACTGTACTGCGTTTATACAATCTCTTAGTGTCTGTGGTGAACATGTGGAATAACGCTCCAGAAAGTAACCCACATCATCCTCTAATAACCACACCAGGGACTCTACCTGGTCTGCACTAAATGGTGGCAAAAATTCATCCCTGCATTCGGGGGTACCAGATGAAACCAACTCAGCACAAACCTCAATCAAAGGCTGCACCTCAGAGAACTCTGTGCCCTGATCTACTAGAACATGAGCAAGCCGTATACATTCTAGCAGTTCATCCCGGGTATACTCCTTCAGAGTTTGATAAGCATACTCCCTGTCATCAAACACTAGCAGATATAAATATTCAACCTCATCAAGATCCATCCTTCCCATCAACAAGCCAAGATGGCTTCCCTGTGCAGCCACTTCTGGTCAGGATTGGCCTTGGTGTAATGTCAGGGCTCCCAGGTATGACCAGAGGTGTGTGACTGATGCAGGGAAACGCAGACTTCAGATATGTGATAAACAATACAATTTATTAACACTAACCATACAAACATAAACGCAGTGCAATACTAAACATAATACAGTGCAAACAAACCAAACCAAACCACCCACAGATAACAGTACATACAAGCAAGCGTCGTCAGGCAGGCCGGGTCAATATCAATTGGGCAGGTAGGTACAGGGGGAGCAAGCAGAGAATGGTCGGGGTCACAGGCCAGGTTCAGCAGGTAGCAAGCAGCGTAGTACAGAGGGTCAGGCAGAGGGATGGTCAGGGTCACAAGCCAGAGATCAAAACAGGTAACAAGCAGCGTAGTACAGAGGGTCAGGCAGAGGGCCAGAAACAGGATGCAGGACAGATACAGGGCCCAGGACAAACACAACACCAAGGCAGAGTCTGTGGGTCTGGCCATCCCTTAAATACCCCAGCATCATCAGTTCCAGGTGTTAGCTGGCTGAAAGGTTGAGTCTCTGATTGCTGGGAGCACCCGCTGGCCAGCCCTGGTACTGCAGATCAAAAGGCAGGTGAGTCCCACCATTGCTGGCCAGTCCATTCCTAACACCTATCAGAGAGATAGCAAAAACATTAGGCGTGCCCAAAACAACTGTTTGGAACATTCTTAAAAAAAAAGGAATGCACCAGTGAGCTCAGCAACACCAAAAGACCTGGAAGACCATGGAAAACAACTGTGGTGGATGACTGAAGAATTCTTTCCCTGATGTTTAAACACCCTTCACAACAGTTGGCCAGATCAAGAACACTCTCCAGGAGGTAGGTGTATGTGTGTCAAAGTCAACAATCAAGAGAAGACTTCACCAGAGTGAATACAGAGGGTTCACCACAAGATGTAAACCATTGGTGAGCCTCAAAAACAGGAAGGCCAGATTAGAGTTTGCCAAACGACATCTAAAAAAGCCTTCACAGTTCTGGAACAACATCCAATGGACAGATGAGACCAAGATCAACTTGTACCAGAGTGATGAGAAGAGAAGAGTATGGAGAAGGAAAGGAACTGCTCATGATCCTAAGCATACCACCTCATCAGGGAAGCATGGTGGTGGTAGTGTCATGGCGTGGGCATGTATGGCTGCCAATGGAACTGGTTCTCTTGTATTTATTGATTATGTGACTGCTGACAAAAGCAGCAGGATGAATTCTGAAGTGTTTTCGGGCAATATTATCTGCTCATATTCAGCCAAATGCTTCAGAACTCATTGGACGCCACTTCACAGTGCAGATGGACAATGACCCAAAGCATACTGCAAAAGCAACCAAAGAGTTTTTTAAGGGAAAGAAGTGGAATGTTATGCAATGGCCAAGTCAGTCACCTCACCTGAATCCGATTGAGCATGCATTTCACTTGCTGAAGACAAAACTGAAGGGAAAATGCCCCAAGAACAAGCAGGAACTGAAGACAGTTGCAGTAGAGGCCTGGCAGAGCATCACCAGGGATGAAACCCAGCGTCTGGTGATGTCTCTGCGTTCCAGACTTCAGGCTGTAATTGACTGCAAAGGATTTGCAACCAAGTATTAAAAAGTGAAGTTTTGATTATTTTTCTGTCCCATTACTTTTGGTTCCTTAACAAGTGGGAGGCACATATGCAAACTGTTGTAATTCCTACACCGTTCACCTGATTTGGATGTAAATACCCTCAAATTAAAGCTGATAGTCTGCAGTTAAAGCACATCTTGTTCGTTTCATTTCAAATCCATTGTGGTGGTGTATAGAGCCAAAAATGTCAGAATTGTGTCGATGTTCCAATATTTATGGACCTGACTGTATATATATATATATATATATATATATATATATATATATACACACACACACACAATGTATATAAGTATATACATACGGTGGGTAAAATAAGTATTGAACAAATCACTATTTTTCTCAGTAAATATATTTGTAAAGGTGCTATTGACATGAAATTTACACCACATGTTGGTAACAACCCATGCAATCCATACATACAAAGAAACCAAAACAAATAAGTTCAGAAAGTGGTAGTAAACTCTTCTTTATTAATTGTACCTACATGTGAGCTTATAATAAAGCTTGCCTGTAGGTAAAAGTAATATCTCCTAAACATGAGCCGTTTCGGAGACGTTAACCCTTTCTGATTGCAGCCACATGTACCCCTAAGGAACAGCATAACTGTGCCGTTCTTTCAGAGCACTGTGTCGTGGCCTAGGACTCCCACGCAGAGCAGCGACATGATCGCGGCTCGGCCATTCAGCCAGCCATAGCTCGTGAACCCAGAAGGAAGCCTCAGGGAGTCATGACAGCGCTCCGCTGGAGAGCTTAGTTTCAAGGTAAGTCCTTCATAATGTGCTAGTATGCAATGCAGGGGGTGGTTTTTTTTTTTTGCTTTTTTTAAGCGGTTTTACTACCGCTTTAAGTTATGTGTGATAAAATGGAATGACACAGGAAAAGTACTGAACATCGTACAAAATCCTGTATGGAGAAACTAGTCACATGCATTGCTCAGGTGTGATTTTGGCCCATTCTTCCACACAATCTTCAAATCTTGAAGGCTCCGTGAGCCTCTTCTATGAACTCTGATCTTTAGTTCTTTGCATAGATTTTCTATTGGATTCAAGTCAGGTGATTGGCTGGGCCATTCTAGTAGCTTTATTTTCTTTATTTGAAACCAATTGAGAGCTTCCTTGGCTTTGTGTTTGCCTTAAGGTTACGTTCTGCCTTTTCATTTTTGTTTTAAACTGAACGGGTTGTTTCACAAGGTAAGGGATCACATATGCTTTACCTTAACATCAGAAGCCTCCCTTCTTATCAGGAGGCCCACATCATGTTAGCATACCCTCCTGTCACATCAGAGGCCCTATATACACTAGTCCCTCCCCCCCCATATTGTTATAATGCCGGCAGCCCACCTGCACCATGCCAACTTGTGATGCTTCAGTCAAGCGTGTCCATGATGCTACAACCTGTTCAGGAATGGTGGGTAAAGTTGGCTATACGCTGATCAAAATTCGTACGGCTCAGAAAGCACTGGCTGAATTTTGATCAGCATGTGGCAGTCCCTGCTTGACAAAAGTGTATCGTTTGATTGACATCTGTCAAAGGGACATGTTGGAAAATGTTTATCGATTAGCAATTTCAGCTGCTGATTGGTGTGTTCTGACAACAGCAATTAACGCTGTCTGAATACATTGTTCCAGTGAGGGGGATTCCCCTGACAGCTTCAATGGGGCGTGGCTGCACTGGGAATGTGAGCAGATTCGCTTCACAGACTTCGTGACCTTCATCCTTTCAGTGCTACTTTAGTCTTTTAATATTCGAGACACAGATAGCTTCAGCTCTCTGCTGCAACATGATTCTTTGTGCCATGACCCAAAAAAACAAGTAAGAAGCAGTGGCCCCTGATCTCCAGCATGGCGCTGCTGCAGCTTTGCCTCCTAGAACACACCATGAGGCAGTGACAAGCCCAAGGACACAATCACCAAAAGTAAGTCTAGCCACCCTGCAGGCAAAGATAACCCTGGGGGCATTCTATATACTATATTGGAAAGT